CTGAAATTAAAAGCAGACAACCCAAAAAATCTACAATGTATGTATATGCATAAATAATGACCTGAAGAAGACCTGTCACAAATAAATAATCTGTCTTTTTCCAATTCTCCTAGGTGCCACAATAAATGAATTAATGAGAATAATACGCATAGCTGGAGTCCAAAGCCAGCCTTTATTTACCACCTCACTCACTTCTTCTTTTAATAGGTGACCATTAAACTTTGGGATTGTAAACTACTGATCTCTGAGTGCTTTGCTTCTCTGGTGGAACCCTGAGTTGCTTTTTCCTTGGGCTGAGTAATGGTTTTAGTGGCATTCCGAGAGCTGTATGTGAGAAGAAAATCAGAGTGCTACTTTCAAACCATGCATTCATTAATCTGGAAGGACATCAAAAGTTAACCAACCTGGTTTGTACTGACAAATGAGTTTTTTACAAATTATTCAAAAAATGTTAAGCCCTTCACCAAACCCTTCAAGCAGATATATGAAACTGGCAATTGAAAGCTCAGACGAAATATGCAAAGATTTAGAAGACCTAAGTTTTGTGTGATTAATCAAACCTTTGTTAAAGTCTTCTGGAATTCTATTATTTGTACTGGCTGGCACAATGTGAAGCCCAATTCCTGAACATTCACAACACTCTAAGAAGTGGTCCTAAGGAGCATCAACTTCAAATTATTAGTCAAATCATTACTAGTGGCCTCTTTGAGAAAACTACAGTTGGTTTTAGCTTAATAATATTGTCCAAAATCTCATTATCTTCTGGAATCTAGGTGAATGAACCATTCCAGCTCAACCATTTTTCCTTCTGCTTAACTGTCTTCTGGGGAAATGACTTCTGATTTGCAAAATGAACACAGAACACTGCATTTTAACTACATACAGATCCCTTCAAAGGTTTTTGCCTTTTTGTTTTGAGGATTAAGTATTCTTTGGGTGAAGACATTTCCAAATCTAGACCTTGCTCATGCAGGCTGGGATGTAGCTGCAATATTACCCCACACTACACCATCAGTTCTGTACTGTATTAGTTACTCCAACTGTATAACATATGTATCAGAGTGTAATTCTGAGAAGGTTGTTTGGGTCTTTTTGGGTGGTAGAAAAGGAAAATCAGGTGGGGGTAGTATTTCACTGAAGCCATCCACTTCCCATTTTTATTGAATAAAGGAAGTAATACTTAGCTTCCTGCTGCTCAACGCTGTCAGGATTCATTGATTAATGTTTCCAAGCACAGCTGAAGAAGAAAAGTGCTATCTATTCACACCATTTTCTGATACATGAATTACCCACCAGGCCCACAAATGCTGTTTCCTTAATTCAATTGCCAAGAGTGTTCTGTGATGCAATATTACTCTGGAAGTGTTTTTAAATGGCAAGTTTTTCTGCTTAATAGCATTTCAAGGTAACGTGAGGTATGCATTTTGAGCTCAGATGGTTTTACCAGGAGAGGAACTGAAAGAAGCCTTTTGTCTCATGATGGTTTCTGGATGTGAGTTCTATGATTGTCTCTGAAAATTGGAGAACAAAGTGTTTCCTCTCCCAGTTTAACACTGCCAAGAGCCTCAGAGCACTGAATCATGTCACCAGTGTGGCTGACCTAATCTGAAAATGACTAACCAGACCTAAGCATTCAAACAGCCTGTGTGCTGGGGCTGGGGTTTCTCAATAATGTTTGAAAATGTTGCTCATGAATGACAGTGTTGTACATATTTAACTGTGTATACTTGCATTTACATATCAAAGCATTATCATTTTACTTGTCTTTCAACTCTCCATCTCCTAAGCAGCAATGTACAAGTTCCTCGACACAACAGCTTCTGTGCTTCAAGACTGTAAAGAAAGAGGGAGCAAAGTCGGTGCTTCCTGCTATGCCTTTATGTCATGTTCTCCCCTGAATGAATCAGGTACCATTCACTTTAAATGATAAGCCACAACAGACAGCTTAAAATCTACTGAATCATGTTTAAATGCAATATTAAGTTTACAGTAAAGTTGTAGAGGGGTTCTGAATTCCTCTATATCATGTTCTTTTCCCCAGACCATCACTGCGCCACTGTTTTCTGGAATGGTGCTTTCATACTGTAAAATGGCTAAGAGTTGCTAAAGTTTCCTCTGTGGTAGCTGATTGGTTTATGACCAATGCATGAGGGCACATATGCCATACACGTCAGCATTCATCTATTCAAACAGAAGCTCGGGAACAAGCCAATACATTGCACTGATGCTTCTCTCAGGGTGAAATCCCATGTTATAGCTGAGCTGAACTGACAGCTTGCTGTAGCTGGAAAAGGGGATAACCAGTGCAGCAAAGGCCTCACTGTGGGCTTGAAGAGAACAAGAAATTTGAAGAGGTGTGAGCTGTTAAGCTCATGTCAGTGCAGTGATAACCACAGGACAATAATCAAATGTCAGTACTGTTAACTATTTCATTGTACATGAGAGAGATGAAATGAAGGATCATATATCTACGTGTTTATTGTAAATAACTCCTCATTTCCAGTCTTATTCTTCACAAATGGGTGGACTCTGGAAAATTGCAACCATTTTTTCTGTTAGCCAGAAGGAGCAAAGCTCAGGAGTATGTGCTATTTGTTACACTGATGTTCTATACAGCTCCAGGCTGAGGCATCTTATTTTGGCTGTGGATGCAAATCCATTGTGAGCAGGTTCCACCTTGGAGACTCATCTGACAGGTGGGAAGGGTAGGAAGCCTTTAGACTGAGATCTTCCAATTTGATTTCAGCCCCCCTGAAGTTCATCTAATTGTAATACCAGTAATATTATGCCATCCCTTATTGTTTCTCCTTGACTGCTGAAGAAGATATTAAGCCATATTTGAGGACGTTCTCAAGCTCTATTGAGTGCACATTCCAGTGCACTTTCAGACACCACTTTATGTTTGAAAATGGATGTATCCTCTCTCAGAAAAAAAACCAAACTCAGCTGAGGAGTTAATACTTTTGTTTCAAAAATGTGCTGGTGGCTGTTGTCATGCTAAAATCACAGGCTGTGAGAAAGACTGCCTTTTTTTTTAATGTGGCTTCTGCAGTGTGTTCAACAGCTCTTGTGGATAACTATTTGCATGAGTTCCTTTGCAGTGTCACTTATTCAGTAATTTTTTCTATTTCTCAGAGTCTTTCTCACAGTAAAAGGAGAAAGAAAGATTTTAAAAACAGGAAAATTTGATTGCAAAGCCACTAAATTTTCAGGAGAATCACTGCAAACTCAGAGACAGCAATGCAGCTTAAAGGGCTTTTGATTGCTTTCAAGTAGGAAAGATTTTCAGTCTCTATTATTCTTTGTAGCAGATTTTAACCCACAGTAGAACTTTCTGTTGCCCCCAAAATGACTCAAGTTCCATGACAACCCCTGCAGAAATTTTCACACTGTAGAGAGACTGCTTTACTCTCTCAGACATAATCCTATTGTGTCTTTATTTCCTACAGTAAAAGTCTACCACAATTTTCTGGTGCATTTCCCCCCTCCCTCTGCAGATTGTGGCATATTAAACTTAGAGGTATAATGAACTGAAACAATGATCATACTACAAGCAAATGAGTAACTGTATCTTGGAATGAATATATTATATGAGTCATGGCAAGTCATTATCAAAAAGGCAGTACCGCATGCTTGGAAGAGGTCAGATACAACAAGCTGAGCTCTGCATCTGGTTTGCCCTTCCACGGAGTGCCTGTTACACTTAGCAAGGCTTGCCTAGAATGAAATGCAAGATAAAGATAGAAGTGCTTTGTACTAGGGTAGGGATTGCTAACGTACTAACAGTTTCATTTAAGGTCGCTTTATGGCTCTGAAAATGTAGCCACAACAGCACAGGACAGAGAAAATAAACCTTGCATGTCAGGTGAGTAGTAAATAGAGTACTCTAATTTTCATGGTAGAAATACATGAACTAGCTGGCCTGAACTCTTATGACTATTTCTTGAAGCCGTGATCGCAACTTTTTCAGCGTGGACATATCTTAAAGAGACTTAGTTTCCCACTCACACTCTTATCCATAATCATCATTATTCCTAGAAAACATCTTCTATTCTCATTTAAATGCACTGAGGTAAGGGTCCTTTCTGAGGTTTTATTTCTATCCTCACATAGATGGGCTAAGTCTAAATGTAAATATAACTTCATAGAAAAAGAGATGGGTGCAATTCTTTAATGAAGGAATTAGCTGGTGTTTAAATGATGTGTTAGAGTCATCCAGCTTGCAGAACAAACACTGTTGGCCAAATCCTCAACTGATAATAAATCATCACTGAATTTAACAAGCTGTCACATATATCAGTCTGGCTGTAAACTTTAAACTTGATATAGCAACTTCTGTATGCAAAGTAAGTAGATCTTTGTCCTGGAATGGGTGAGACAAAAAGAGATTTACACTGGATGTCAAAGTGCCTTGGGTAGTATTTCTTCCAGAGTAGCATTATGACACCATGTGTAATGAAGTGCAAAGGCCCCCTATTTCTCAATAAAGAAACAAATGCAGAATGTTTAATATTGTTTTATGTTTGCTCTGCATGCTGAACTTGGCCTTTTACTCTCTTCCTCAATAGAAGAAGAACAAAATAAGTTGTACTGTTTGTGCTTAAGTGGTGTTTTCCTTCTATTGTAAACAAAAATAGATCATTGACTGTAAAAGGTAGGTCGTATGACCTCTTTTTCATACGTAGCAGAGAGCACATAAGGGACACTGTGAAAATATGCTTACGATCTTACTTCTATTTGGTTAAAATCTCAGTTATACTTAGTGCTTAGCTTTAGCACAGTACTATTCTTCCTTGCATTTTCTTACTCAAAACGAAGATAAAGCAGCATAAGAAGATTCTCTACACTTTTTTCTTATGAATGATTGTATACAAAACATATCAACTTTGAGTTTTAAGTAGCATGTACCTCTGTAAGTGCATTATAAATTAAAGATGGTCTGCTTTGTGGTCATAGAGTATGTGGTCAGCTTACAAGATTGAACTTCCTTGTGTCCATGGTTCTGAAACTAGACACATTCAGACATTGTGTTTGGACCACAGCATAGTAAAATATTGATGTCACAAAGACATGCTTTGAAGATTGTATTAGGGCAATTTAGATCTCTCCTGAGAAAATTTTTTGCTTATTTTAATAATACAGAATTCTGTTTTAAGCATTTGGGGAAGAAAACCAGGTTGTTTGCATTCAGGTGTTTTTAGGATAAAAGAAGTCAGAATGATTACAGCACATAGACCCAAAGGAGCAGCAAAGAAATAGGGAAATTGAGACAAATATAAGTTCACCAGAATATGTTTTTAGGCAATGATTTTTTGTATCCAGAGCAAGATTCCAGTAAACTAGAATAGGTGGCAAGAGAAACAGGAGCACTGAAACACAGTAGGAGAGAAAATAAAAGGCAACAAAACACTAGTACGCTACTGAAAGAGAATTTACAACTTATATTAAGGAAAGAAATGAAATGAAAGCATTAACATTCAAGAAAGTTATGTATGTAGGTGAACCTGAGCAGTAACCAGGTAGCTCTGTAACTCTACTTCACGTTTATTCACCTCATACACTCTAATTCCAGCACTGATACAATACCACTAATTTCAGTTTTTTACTATTGATAAGAACCACAAAGAATCACGTGTCATTACTGACAGTGGATTTCTTGCAGCTTCCTCTGAAGCATTTGGTCATATCTATTGTGACAGGATACAAATGCAGATGCAGGACTTACACAGTCTGACATTACAAATGTTAAGCCAATAAAAGAGAGATCCGTTGCATGAACCTCTCATGGAAGAATCTTGGCCTCCCTCACCCTTTACTTTGGAGTACGCACACAACCACCTGAGGAGTCCTAGTTAGTTAAACTAGAGAAGTCTAGTTTAACTAACTCTGAAGACTAAAGTCTTCAGAGAGTTATGAAAAATATTTTTGAGTGTTTTCCACTGCTGCTTCTGTGAGGCTTGTCACAGAAGGATTGTTAGTATAGATCATGCAGCAGCAGCTTCAGTAGCATATTATGCAGCTGTACGTGGGGACAGATCTAGATATGACAATCATAAAGTGACCTCAGTCTTGCTTCTGAGCTGCCCCTTCTGCAGTTGTGAAAACTAACCAAACCACACAAAATGACATGCTAAGGAAATGTTAAGGAAAATGGTAATGCAGGTAAAGTCTGGTTACGCACAATTTTTACATGACCTTATTTCATTCAGAGTAGCTCGCTCTAGTCTTCACTGTAGTTTCTTCTGAGCTTCATACAATCAAACTCTTGGGTAGAATACACACATTGGATCAGCTTGACACCTTTAGCCTGTGATCTCTGAAGAAAAAAACTTGACACTACATCTTGCTCAGAACAGCCACCCTAATATTGAAGGAAACTTGTTTAAGAGCAGTGTTAGCTGAAAACTTCCCATCAAATGTGGGCTGCTTTTTATCTGGGAGGGAGGTTCAAGCACGAAACTAGGTTTTAACTGAGCATGTTTGCCTGGTTATTTGAAGGGGAATATCATTAATTAACCAAGACACCAAAGAGTTAAAATCCAATTACATTTTAGGTGAAAAAAAAACCAAAAACCCAAACGCCAAAAAAATCCCAAAATGTTTGGCATTGGATTCTTTTTAATATTTCCAGAAAAGTCAATTTAAAAAATAATTTTTGCCAGTAAGATTCCTCTTTATCTCCCCCATTTTTCTTCAATATTCTGTGAAATGTCCATCCTCCTTTATTTTTTTAGCAGTTGTATTAAAAAATATGGACTGTCTCTGATGCTACCAGAATCTGCCTGTATGACCCTGAGCAGGTTCTTCAGTGTTCTTCTGATATAGTTATTTACCTACAGAACTGGGACAGGTTTTTTGCCTCCCCAGAATTGGGACAGGTTTTTTGTACTTGTCGTGAGTTTATTGATGCAGCGTTTAATAATGTTTGTAAAGCATTTCATTTTTTTTCTCCAGTGGATAGCACTGAAGTAACCATTTTGGATCCCTCATTTGGCCAGCCTAATGGTTCCCTCACTGCCAACTATGACTGCATCAGTTTTTTCTTTAAAATATCTCCAAGGAGCCATTTTTAATTTCTGCCAAACTTGAATGGAATAACTTATGTCCACGCGGTTTACTTCTACCTGTCCATAATAGGAATGCTATTATTCAGAGATGTCCCTAGTTTAATTCGGATCTCACAGACCTATCTGCCTTCTCCCTCTATACAGAGACAGTTTAGCTTTCTTGAACTGCTGCTCAAGTCCCTAGTTCCATTACCAAGTCCCCAGACTGCTGTGTGGTGTCTGAAAGAACATAAACTCTAGAAATGCAAATGAACAGTATGTGGTATACATTAATTGCTGTAGCTAAACTGTACTAAAACTAAGTCAACTACACTAAAAGATGGGGATAGAAAGGCTTAGGAGTGCCACTGTCTTTGGTGCAAAAGTCTTTCCTGTTCTTAATACTGACCATGTCCATTAGCCTTAGAACAAAATTCCAGAAACTGCTCCCTAGTCACTCCATCAGCAATCTTCCACCACTCCTCAGAAAAATGCAAGAGATCACTGCCTTGTTCTAGAGTATCCTGCAGCCTCTCTTCAGCAGAAACCACATGGCCAAAAGCTTCAAGTTCACAAACACTTTCATGGGCATATTTTTAATATGTCAAATGGATCAGTTTCTCAGACCATGTGGATTTAGAGGCTATCCGTACATGCCCAGCTAAGGTTCACTAAAAAACTGCTTACATGGAAGTCACGGAAATAATGCCTGGACTTCTTGTGATCACTAAGAAAAGAAGAGCAGGAGCGGTTATTGGGGAAGCATTGTTTTAGTTGTGCTCCATAATTTTTAGCAATTAAATTCACAGCATTAAGAATAGCTTTTATGGAATAAAGTGCATATTTCCCTTTGTTCCATCCCGATCACTGATTGGTCCCAGTTAGACTCACCTACTGTTCTTGTGACCTTGGTGACGGTGAGCAGCACAAAAACACACACAGTCTTCCCAGCAATATTCATGTCGGCTCCTGCTTTCATGGCCCACCTCCAGCCTAGCTGTGGTCATGGAGAGTGTTTCTTGCCTGCCAGTGCATCCTCAGCAGCCAATGTCAGCGTTTTCTCTCCCCCTTTCCCACTCCTCTCCTCTAGCTGTGCGTGCTCCTGACTGACTGGCTCCTCAAAGCTGGAGAAGTTCCTCCTTCTGACTTCTCAGAGCACTAGGCTTCCTGTGCAGAGAGCCTAGACGAACGCTGAGGAAACAGATTGAATAAGTCTGCCTTCCGTTCATTGGCTCTCCTCAGGAGGCTGGTGATTGAAGATAAACCCCGCAGCAGAGCTCAGAGGGGGTAAAAGCAGAGGAGATTATTCAAGGCTGAGTTTAATATAAAAAAAAAATAAAAATAAAAAAAAGTCTTGGGAAGATAGAGAGAAACTTACTCTTCATAGTTGTCACTCCTACGACTACTACTACTTCTTCGTCACTTCTTAGTCACTGCCTCCAAGAAAATTCCTCCTCATGTCTCCCTTAAAAATAAGCAGTCTCAAGTCTTCTCTATAAGTGACATTTTTAATGATTCTCCCTTCAGTAGCTACTGGCAGCATAGTTCTCATCTTGAACAACCTTCCAGACCCTGGGGCAAGAAACTGACTTTTGAGGAGAAACAAAAGCCTCTTTTACATACTTTTCAGCTGAAATAATGCAGAAATTGAAGCTGCTCCACATCTTTCACTGCAAAACTGGAGGTTTTTTTCAGAATAGTGTTTTGTGGGGTTTTTTTAAACAATACTGTACCTGTTTCCCCACTTCCTCACTGATCTCGTAATTTCAGGTTCAAGATTCCTTTTCCTTTCTTAAACCACAGCATTTCCCCAGCTCAGCTGTGTGGTCCAGCAGTAGAGAAAAGGCCTCATCTGTTGAAAGCTACAAGTCATAATAAATAGCACTGAGGACAGAGACATAAGAGGTAAAGACAGAAAACAGATCAAAGAAGTTAGCAGGAAATCGAGCTGCTCAGGAGCTAGGACTGCACACTACGTCTGAACATCGGCAAGCTGTACTGATGACTGTAGTCTGATGTTCTGGTAATTTTATTTGATCAGGCTGGTGTTCCAAAATGGTCTGCGCTGGTGGCCCTATGTAAATAAGCAAAAACCAAAGCTTGATAATGATCATATAAAGAAAATGAGGTAAGACAGAAATTCAGCTTGATCGGTTTGGTCTCAGGATCATCTTATTGACTACAGTTTTGTGAGGGAGGGTGTTCTATATAGTTTTTCCCACTTGATTTTTTAAGTTCAATTTAACATTTTGACACTCCTCCACACTGTTCTGAGGTTTTCAAGATGCTATTCACAGTAACACTTTGGTTTATTTTCTGAGTATTTACCACTGATCAATGAATTAGTAATGCTTGTGATGAATAGATATAAGATCTATATTTTAGACAAGAGCATGTGGAGGAAGAAGAGGTGTTTATGTAAGTAGATATTAAGATACAAGCCTGGAGAGAGAAGTAGGCAACATGAAAGCAGTATGAGGCCTCAAATGTAAAAGAAAGTACCCAAATTTGATGCAAAGACAAGACGAAAATAAGGTGGTGTAAATGTGCAGACATGTGGCATGTTAGATGATTGCTGCATGAACGTAAAAAATAAGAAGATGCAGTGGGATAGAGGATATTTTGGAAGAGAACGAACTATCTTCTAAATAAAAAAGTTCTACTTTAAGTTGTCATAATGAAAGGTCTCTGCCATTCCTACAGGGATTCATTGGGAACCAGAAGTTAGCTGGATTCTTTTAGTAAACAAATGTTATTTCAGGTGTCATGAAGATGCTTTGGAAGAAAATTTCTGGTTCAAGCCTAGGCTTCTAGGAAAAAGCGAGGGGCTCATGAGAGAAGGTGTGGTGGGTTGACCTTGGCTGGCCATCAGGTGCCCACCAAGTCGCTCTATCATTTCCCCTCCTCAACTGGACAGGGAGAGAAAAACAGAGTGAAAGGCTCGTGGGTTGACATAAGGACAGGGGAATCACTGAACAATTACTGTCACAGGCAAAACAAGATGGCCTTTCAGGCAGTGGCATGGTTTACAGGGTATATTTCTAGCCAACTGGTGGTTGCTTCCACCACAGTGAGTATGTAGCGCTTGCCTTGGAGTGTTCAAGTCAGTTGTACAATATAGATAATCTGCCAGACCTCTCCATATTGAAAACCCAGACACCACCCTCTATTCCAGAGACATTTTCTTCGTGTGGCTTGCTTGTTTACAGCATATGTTTCACATTCATGAGTGACCAGTGTGGTGGCCTACATGGTCAGGTCCACCCCTTGATCATTAGCCCATCTGTATGCTGCATCTTTACCTAGAAGTCCCCATGTTTCATAGACCCATTGAGCTACAGATAGCTCACCCTTACACTCCCATTGCAGGTCCACCTGATCTACTTCAAATTTGACAGCCTCGTCTGCCTATTCATTATTTTGATGTTCTTCAGTGGTATGGCTTTTGTGCATGTGAGCATGACACACCTTTGGAGCAGTGCTTTCTACCAGGGCAGTGATGTCTTGCCGCAGTGGACCAGCCCAGATGGATTTATGCCTGTGCTTCCACTGCTGTAGCCACCCCCATAGGGCAATAGTCACCATCCATGTGTCACAGCTGGGCACTTTTCTTGTTCAGCAATCTCTCAGGCTATTTGGATGGCTTTCACTTCTGCAAACTGACTTGACTCACCTTCTCCTTCAGTGGCTTCAGCGGCTTCAGCAACTTGCCATATGGGACTCAACACATCAGCTCTCCACTTCTGATGCTTCCCTACAACACAACAAAGGCGTTATGCTCAGTAAACAGAGCATAACACCTTTCATCTTCTGATAACTCATTATACAGTTGTGCCTCTTGGGCACAAGCCGCCTTCTCAGGCAATGCTCTGAAAGCTCTGCCTTCTGGCCAATCCATGGTCTTTTCCAGGATTCGTGGGTGGCTGGGTTTCCCCAGTCAAGCCTCCTCTGTGATCAGCCCTACCCACATAGCACTGCTTGCATGATGTGTAGAGGGGATGTTTTCTTTGAACATCCAGTGTAGCATGGGCAACAGCAGTGCCAAGAGGAGAAGTACTTCTGTACCAACAACTTGTGAAGTTGCTTGAACCCTCTTATATGTTGCTGAGTATCTCTTTTTCAGTCAGTGTGTTGTGGCCTTCTGATCCTTGATACCCCAGCTCCAAAACATGGTGGTCAACGTTGGGTTTCTCCTGATGTTTTCTACCAGAGAGTCCAGGTGAGATCATGCTCTTTGGCTGCAGTGTAGAGCATATTTAGCACAGCTGAGTCATTTGCTATCTCATGAGTCTTATCCTGTCTGATCTACTCAAAGACTTGTTGCCCAAGGCTCCACTCAAAATAGTTCTTCTTTCAGGTTACTTAATAGAGAGGGTTCACAAGCTGATTAACCTGGAATATGCATTCTTCCAAATCCCACAGGGCCTAGGAAAGATCATGTTTCTTTCTTGTTAGCTGGTGGAGACATAATTGCTATCTTGTTGATCATATCTATAGTTACATGGCAACATCTAGAAATCTGAGGACAACTGAGTCTGAGAAGTACTGCAACAGTTACTTCTACCTTGTGAAAAATCTGCTATGGGCAACAAAACTTGAGAAGTGAGATAGGAGAAGTCTGTGGCAGGACATGACGTGACATAAATTTATGTTTATGAAAACATAAATTTACCACAACAAGTCTTGTGTACTTTATTTCTTATTCACTGGAGCCGCCTTCTCAGTTACACATTGAGAGCCAGGATCCCATGGCAGAAGAACTGATTCTGACAAAGGCCAGAGTGGGACAGAGGACAACTTAGATAGACAGAGAAATAATGCATGTAGAGGAGGGAAAGTTGTCAGAGTTTGCTGGCTACATCAGTCAGAAATGTAGTGTGAATCTCATGGAAGGGAGGAGGAAGAGAGGGATGAACTGATTGTGATAGCTGAAGCTGAAGCTTGGGATGTAGCTGAGGATGAAGATGTTGCCAACAAGGTGCAACTAAAGATACACTTTCAATAAATGTGTGTTTCCACACAGCAGCAGAGAAAACTCAAGCGTTGTTTATTTAAGGTGCTATGCGGAGCCATCACAGCCTTCCCGGAGACTGAACTTTCCCTGTCTTCTGTGTTGTGAGAGCACAGATCTGGGCTTTGCCTGTGGTTTTCAGTGTGGGTTATTGCAGAACTATTTTATGTTAACGATCATAATGTCATCAGATATTATTTGACAAAGGCAGAGTCTGTGATCTGCTCTGTTTGAAGTGGTTTTACTCAGCCTTAAAGTCTTTGCTGACAGCAGATTCCATACTAATAACTTGTTCAACAAGAAGTGCATGAACTGAAAAACAGGATTTCAATTATCAACGTGCAGACAGAAATCAAATTAATTTCCAGTGATGACATGAATATCAGAGTGCTGGAACCTCAGCTGGTATAAACTTTTAGGCTGTCCCAGTTCTAATGACTTCTCATGGAGCTACCATGACTTTTCTCCATGTGAGAATTCTCCCTGCTGTCTATGTCAGCTGAGGATCCTAAATCTTCAGACCATACAGATGGCTCAACAGGCTGCACATAAATGAATAAATCAAATTAGCTCTGAAGCTGTGAATGGTTCTGGAAAAACATCATGTTTCTCCATGTATTGACAGATCTGTTTTCATCACTAAGTGCTCGCCCCAGCAATGAAGTACAACAGTTTTGTCTGGCAACTTGTCAAGGAAGTGAAATTGAGGCTGGATTACCCTGTACAATGGCCTTGTCCAATGTATAGGGCATTAAAACTACTTTAATTCTGTCAGAGATAGCAGTGTGTCACACTTGTCAGTGGACTTCCTGCCTTTTGATGACCTTAGAGCCTAGAACTTGTTACATTTATAATAAAGGAAAAATAATTTCATAAGTTTTATTTGCATATTCTGTAACAAAATACAGTAATTTTGCATATGGGGTATATGAAAGAGACCAAAAATGTTGGGTAGCATCACTTGTGTG